TCTGGGGGGTGTCACCGGGGATGTGGCACGCCCCCCCCAAAGTCTCCCCGTGTCCCCAAGGGGCTCCCCGTGTCCCCCAAAGTCTCCCCGTGTGTCCGTCTCCCCCCCCGGCTCCTCGTGTCCTCCCAGGGTCTCACCATGTTCCTGGGGACATCCCATGTCCCCCCCCACGTCCCCAGGGCACCCTCTGTCCCCGCCCCAGTGTCCCCAAGGACTCTTGTGTGTCCCCCCCAGCCAGGGCTCCCCATGGACCCCATGGTGCTCCTCATCTTCTCCAAGGTCCTCCATGTCCCCAGGGCTCCCCTTGTCCCCACCACATCCCCAAGGGCCTCCTGTGTCCCCAAGGGTTTGCCGAGATCCTCCATCCCCAGGGTTCCCCAAGATCCTCCATGTCCCAGTGTCTCCCCTTGTCCCCTGGTTGACTCCCTTGTCCCCTTCTTGTCCCCCTCTCCCCAGGCATCTCCTCCGTCCTCTTCTCCTCCCGCCTGGGCTGCCTGGAGCAGGAGGTGCCCAGGGACACGGAGACCTTCATCCGGGCCATCAACACCATGTTCGTGCTGACGTTGCTCACCATGGCCATGCCCAAGCCCCTCCACCGCCTCTTCCCCAAGCCCTGGAGGACCTTCTGCGAGGCTTGGGACTACATGTTCGCCTTCGGTGAGGGGCCACCCAGGGGGACACGGGGACAGCTGAAGGTCCCCGTCGCCCGCCCTGACGCTCACGGAGATTCCTCTTCTCCCAGCCAAAGGGCACATTGACCGGCGCGTGGCCGAGGTGGCCCAACGGGGCCAACCCACAGAGATGTGTCTCACCGACCACCTGGCCCAGGAGAAGGTCCCCATGAAGGTCATCTATGGCAACGTCACCGAGCTGCTGCTGGCTGGGGTGGACACGGTGAGGAGAGGGGCACGTTGGGGTTGGGTGGCCCTCCGTCTCGGTGCAGTCCTGCTGATGTCACCTCCTCCCACCCTGCAGATCTCCAGCACCCTCTCGTGGAGCCTCTACGAGCTGGCCCGGCACCCCGGGGTGCAGGAGGCCCTGCACAGGGACCTGGTGGCCACCCTGGGCAACGGAGGTGGCTCCTCAGTCACCGCCCTGGGGAGGGTCCCCCTGCTGAGGGCTGTGGTGAAGGAGACCCTGAGGTGGGGACAGGGATGGAGGGGACAGGGGCGAGGGTGAAGGTGGGGACAAGGATGGGGATGGAGATGGAGAGGAAGGTGGGGACAAGGATGGGGATGAAGGTGGTGATGGGGATGAAGATGAGGACAAGGATGGGGATGAAGATGGGTCTTGGGGTGAAGATGGGGACAAGGATAGGGAAGAAGATGAGGATGGGGATGAAGATGGAGATGAAGACGGGGACAAGAACGGAGCTGAGGATGGGGCTGAAGATGGCAACAAGGACAGGGATGAAGCCAGGGGTGGGAACGAGGATAAGGACAGGAGATGAAGCCACGGATGGGCACAGGAGGGGGGGCAGGGGGGTGGTGGCAGCTGTGGTGACACCCCCCCACACCCTCCCCACCAGGCTCTACCCCGTCATCCCCGCCAACGCCCGCGTCGTCCCCGACCGCGACATCCGTGTGGGCGACTACCTGGTGCCACGCAAGGTGACCTCAGGGGGGGTTTGTGTCCCCGGGTCCCCCCCGTGTCCCTTCCGTGTCCCCACTCACCACCCCACCCCCCACCACCGTGTGTCGTGTCCCCCCAGACCCTCATCACCCTCTGTCACTACGCCGCCTCCCGCGACGGCCGCCTCTTCCCGGCCCCCGACGCCTTCCTCCCGGAGCGCTGGTTGTCCCCTGATGGCACCCGTCACCCCTTCGCCTCCCTCCCCTTCGGGGTGGGCAAGCGCAGCTGCGTGGGACGTCGCCTGGCCGAGCTGGAGGTCCACCTGGCACTGGCACAGGTGAGGGGCCACCACCCCCCAACTGTCCCCAACCGTCCCCAACCCTCCATCCCCAACCATCTCTGGTTGTCCCCAACCCTCCATCCCCAACCATCTCCAACCATCTCTGGTTGTCCCTAATATCCCCCTCTTGCCCGTCCCGGCAGATCCTGCTGCGCTTCCAGGTGCGTCCGGAACCCGGTGGTGGCCTCATCCGTCCCATGACCCGCACCCTGTTGGTCCCTGAGGCCACCATCAACCTCCAGTTCCTCAGCCGGTGAGCGGGGGGACCCACGAGGGACAAGCGTGTGGCCAGTGGTGGACCCATCACCAGTGGTGGCCCCAACCCTGGTGGCACCCACTCTGGTGGTGGCCCCAGACTCGATGGTGGTCACTCTGGTGGTGGCCCCAACGTCAGTGATGGTGACCCTGGTGGTGGCCCTGACCCCATGGTGTCCTCCGACCCAGGTGGTGGCTGTAACCCTGGTGGTGGCACCCACTCTGGTGGCGGCCCCAGACTCAGTGGTGGTGACCCTGATGGTGGCCCTGGCAGTAGCCCTGACCTCCATGGTGTCCCCAACCCCCGTGGTGGCCACTGACTCCTGTGGTGGCCCTGATCCTGGTGGCCCCGATCCTGGTAGCCCCAGACCCTGATGGTGTCCCCAACCCCAGCAGTGGCCCTGACCCTGGTGGTGGCCTTAGCCCTAGTGATGTCTCCTGGCCCCGGTGGTGGCCCTGACCCTGGTGTCCCCCAACCCCAGTGGTGGCCCCTGACCCCAGTGGTGGCCTTGACCCCATGGTGTCCCCAAGCCTGGTGGTGGCTTTGACCCCGCTGATGGCCACTGATGGTGGCCCTGACCCCCACGGTGTCCCCAACTTCCTTGGTAGCCACCGATTCCTTTGGTGGCCTAGACTCTGGTGGCCCTGGTGACCCCCTGACGGTGGCCTTGACCCCTCGGTCCCCCCCCTCCCTCCCCCCGGGGGCGCTTCCCGGGTTATTTAAAGGTTTATTTATTGGCCAATAAAAGGCGGTTTTGGGTTCGTTGGTGCCGGCTGTTCCCTGGCACCCCCTGGCCCCCCCCGACCCTTTGGGGTGACTCAGTGCCCC